TGCATAGTGCAAACAGTTGGTCCCCATAAAGGACCAATAAAATTGCTGTAAGATTCTGAATGACTTGCACATGACTTGCACATCTCATCCATTTATGGCCCAGCATGTACTAACATTTTTATTATTGGATTGTTTACAAAAAGGCAAAGAAACTACTTCACACTCATGTTGTATATGACAGGATAAATGGAACTCGGCATGAGTATAATCTACAGAAGATTGGTCATGTGACATAAACAAAGTATTTTAAAGCATTAATAAAAATATTACTATTTCTCTTGGGGTGAAGGTGAACCTATCCTGGAGAAAACATGTTGGAAATGCAGCTAGAGGGTTTTGGAGATCAGTAAAATACAAACTTTTCATGTTTTCCACCCTCTGTGTACATACTTTAGCTTCCTGAGCTCTTTCCAGTTCGGAATGAGCCTGTTCAGCTCTTCTATTCCTCTGCCAGCCATCCTCCAGCCCCCCAACCTGAGAAAGAGCAAATCCAACATTCTCAAAGCCAAGCTTATTCTTTTTTTAATGACAGACTGACAGAAGATGAATGGTAATGTGCAGCGAGCGCTAGGTATGAATGAAAGACTCACTCTATCTGCTCTAAATGTGCGTGTCCCTTCGTCGCAGCCAGGAGATCCAGAACGCTGAGATTGTCCATTGCTGTGACAATCTCATTCAGCCTGGTACACACATACAAAATGTATTAGTTATGTTAGGTAGATATGTATTTTGATGAGGATTTATAGCCATGGGAATATGATCTGTATTTTAGAAATGCATAAAAGGCTTTGACATATGCTGACCAGGCACCTTGCCAGCTACATTTTACAGCTTAGCACTATGAGAGAACTGGGAATGATAAGGGATAAATTCGTCCCTGGGGTGGGGTGGGGGGTAGGGGGATTAGTAGGATCAGATCCTACTAACTAATTATGAGGTTCATAAGAGCCTGATGACATGCTGGTATGACAAACAGCACCAACAGTTCCTGCAGTACAAAAAGCAGCATGTGCATTATAGTGTAAATGCAGAGTGAAGTGCACTGTGGTGAAAACAGCAAAGATGTCTGCCTGGAAGAGTTTTGATCTCTGTTCAATAAATCCTGAAGGCTATGTGGTAAAGAACAAACCAAGATTTACTTTAGCTCTTGGATTCTGACTACCTCAAAGAAACTGAGAGTGTTTCTTACCTGAGACGGCGAATAGAGTTGATATTTTTTAGAGCTCGTGCCAGACACATCCTGCTCTCCTCATTCAGTGCCACAGAATCCAAACTTAGGGTGCAAAGAAAACACAGGAAAAAACTGACATTTTTTAACAGCTACTTTATTTTATCCAACAGAAAAAACAGCTGTATTGTTGTATGTATGTGTGTGCCTTACCAAAGGTCTTCAAGAATAACACACTGTCCCAGTGCTTCAATGAGCTGCAGTCCTCCAGGCAAAACACAGTGGGAAAGACTACAGCAGAGAAGTTCCATTGTGAACAAATGTTTACTCACTGTGTGTAACATTTTACAGCAGCCTAAATAGAAGTTCATATTCTAGACATTATTTTTCACACAGTCATGTACAGAAGTACATCCACACTCATCTTATAGATCATAAATGCTTACTTGAGTGATCGTAGACAGGGCAGAAACGTGGTCATA